GGTCCAGGAGGGGGCGGAAGCGGCTTCGACGCATTGTCTGACAACGGTTCCCACGGATTCCTGTCCACTGGCGGCGGTGTCACAGGAGACAGGCCCCCTTCCTGAGAATCGTTATCCGACCCAACAGCCGCCGTGTCCCCCTGGCCTGTAGGAATCGGTGGCACAGGAGGTCTGGCTGTCTTGGGAGGCGGAGGCTTCGGTTCCGGAGGATCGCCAAAACGCGGAGGCGACTTGGCTGCGCTAGAGGCGGACCCGCCCGCCGGCTGTGCCGGTGGCTTGGCCTTGGCCTCTTCTTGGCCATGAGCCGTGCGCTTTCTCTCCTCATTTGCTCCGTCCAAAAACGGGTGTTCGAAAGCGAGTTAGCAACCTCTGCTCTCCATGTAGTCCCGCGCGTTTCCCATCGACAGGTCATGCCCAAGGTGCGGCGACGCATTTCCTGCCGATCGATTGGTAAAAGATCGGAAACCCATTGGCATTGCTGATTCCTGACTTTGTCTATCATTTCAGCTCTCCTTTGCTCCTCAACGATTCAATGTTGAAATCATTGGCGGCAGCTTCGCCTTGTTCCAACAACTGTCGCAATATTGTCCAAGCGCCACCTCCGAACGCGTGGTGCGCGGCGGGGTGCCAGCGGTAAATGCGTATCTCAGCCATTACTACCTGATTGGCATGTTTGGTGCATTGCTGCGTTGGACCACCATCGCCAGTAACGGATGTCGGACAACTCCAAAATATGATTCCCGCAGGGTCCCAATATCCATCGTCGAAAGTCTCTTCCGCCATCGTGTGCCGCAGATGGGTTGAAGGGTTATCTTCAGGGTATGCACAATAATATATTCCGACGTTCGTCTTCTTCACATTTCCCCCGTGCTCTGGGTCTGAAGGATCTGATATCCTTCGAGGATTGAGTGGGGCGCCCCAACGGATGTTCCGCGGGGCTGCCTTGTCCAATTTTGGCCCGAAATCAACTCTGCCAAGTTAGCTTCTTTTGCGAAAAGAGGTAACGTCAATTGGACACATTGCTCCTTCTCTGCGTGCTCTACGATTGCTGCCTCTTTCCCACGTGACGCGGTCAGCAATCGTCCTCGGCCCCCCCGACACCGCGCGGTCACGTCGCGCAATGAAGAAGTTTGCCCAATTCGGGATCGCGTATTCCGCAGGCAGAACCGGTCGTTTCGTGCTGTCTTGAAGCAACGGATCCGCCAACCACGCGTCTCCGTTCGATGCAGCGCACAACCGATCGTAATCTGCGCTATGCACGAATGTCTCATTGTCCTTATCTTTCGCAACAGCTCGTCAGTCTTCTCCTGGCCACAAATAAATCTTGCTGTAAAGGCGTTTAGCCAGCTCTCCAGCATTCAAGGGCTTCAGGGGGATGACTCTTGCAGATCCTCCACCGACGCTCCAATCGTTGACTGTTGTGGCAATTCGACAGGCCATCTGCGAATGCCATCGGCCCAGCTGGAGGAGAGTTCGTCTTCTTCTTGCCCACTGGTGTTGACTTGTTCTCAGGGCACCTTTCTTTAATTGCTTTCTCCCAATGTGCCGTGGGGGAAACAGCGGTTAGTGCTCTAACAGGTTCCACTGAGCGTGCCCGGTTCTTGATTGAACTCTTGCCTGTGCCAGGTCCACCCGGCCCCCCTGCATCGCTCGGACTCTGCGCGGCTGTGCCGGCAGGGCTAGCGGTCGATGCCTCTCCAGCGGGGCTGACTGCAATTGGTCATCTTGGCCTCGTCGCGGGCAGTGCCACCGAGGTTCGCCATGCTGTCCGTTTGGCAGACTGAGCGGGGGGCCGAAAATTGGGTCGAGATGCTTCCAAGGCATCTATCGTTTGATACATAAAGTGATCACTGAGGATCCTTCCTCCGGCGCGACGTATGTCTCTTCCCTCAGGATGCGCACTAGGATGCAAGGCGAGCTCCTCGTAAGGAAAAATTGAACCTCGCTCCAATGTAAGTATTTATCATACCCTTTTTCTTTTGAAACGAAATCTTCCCACTCTTGTGAGAACCAAGCATGCCCCGCTCCTCGTCCTGCCCGTCGCGTTGACAAGGGATTTCGTAAGTGGATTAGCGAAAGGGAGCGTTCCCAACATCGAAGTCGGAGTACCGTTCTCAGTAGGACACCAGTTGGTCCAATGCGATGCATGTCCCTCATAGGTAGCTTCTGTCTTCGCAAACCCGTCTGCTCGCAGTTCATTTTCGCAGATCCACCCCTGGGCGGCTGAGCCGCCAGAGGGTTGACAGAACAACCAGGTTGCAAGCTGTGCTGCTTTCATCATGTGGCCAGCCACTATTTCAACCCGTTGAACTGCGACCACGGTAGCATCTCTGTCCAATGTATCATATTCATGTTTATCAGCAAAATGGTACTCATCGTGCGGGGTGTGACGGAATTTCCGATACAAGCATGTGCCGTCCAGAATCATTATTTTAGGCTGAATCCCCGCAGCTCTGCATCGTTCGATGCGCTGATTCATGCGTGCCCGCAGCAAAGTAGCAATGTCATCCCACATGGCGTGCATTTTGAATGCACCACTTTCCGATTGCCAGCATCTATGGTCTCCGCCAATGTGAAATATCTGTATGGCTCCCGTCTTGGAACGTTTCACCGCCTCATCGGTCATTCTATCGGCTGTTTCAATGAAGGGACCGAGCAATGCTATCAACATTTGGGGCTCAACATTCTTCTGCTTCGTTCCCGTCAGTCCCATGATGTCGCACTTGCTTCCGTCAGAGATATCGCTCATGGACCAAACTATGTTTTGTTTTGGCGTGTGTTGGTCTGGTATGAAACTTCCCATGTGATTGGGAACCTGGTTATTCCACAAATCTTGTTTCATCATGTAATGCAGGAGTTTCGGTCCGCACGCGCCCCCTTTGTATCTGCGTCCGCTCCATGAATACAATCCCGTGTGAAAAATTGTGGGCTCGCGGAACCACCAAACCTCTTTTCTTGTGCACTATTGCACTTACACGTCGAATCAGAGACAACATGAATGGCAGCGCCCCCAGGTTTGTATCCTTTGTAAGAGGTTTGGGCCAAAGGCCAGAAGAAATCCAGTGGGTGTCTGCCTGTCCACACCATGGCGGCCAGGTCCTCACTGCTATAGGGAATCCACCCGTGGCCATGCACCTCTGCAAATTGCGTAATGGCCTGACACATATCCTGTATATCAAGCCATCCCAGCGACACGTGAAGGGAAACATCGACTACGTCAGCGTACAGCGTGACTGCAGCATAGCAAGGTGTCAGCGACCACCTACAATAACATACTTCAGCCTGGCCTCAATGAAACGACTTCGCGTTGCTAAGATGTCAGCATGGAACACATATTCTCTCTCATGTTGGCTTGGCCTGGCTCCGGCTCGCCACAATTGATCCGACAACGCTCGACAATAACAGCTTTGATGTGGCCTAATGCGGTCGTTGAAGATCGCGGTGGTGCTGGTAAAATCGTCCTCGGGATGTCGGCGTTGGCGCTCTGGGGGAACAGGCTTGCTTCGCCCAGGTCTGCTTTTCTAGAGGGGCCCAACGCCCTGGCGTGCTCCGCGTGCTCGCGCCTCTGGGCGCCGCCAACGTCGAGCCTGCCCGCTCGCGCACTTCGCCCCGGGGGATCAGGAGATCGAGGAGCAGGCACTGAACCCGTGCACCTGGTCCTGGTTCTCGTCCTCGTCGTCGTCCTCGTCGTCGTCGTCGTCGTCGTCGCCGTCGTCGCCGCCGCCGCCGCCGCCGCCGCCGCCCTGCTGGCACCGCCTCCGTGCTCCGGTGGCCCACGCATGCCGTGCCGTGCCGCGGCGCCGTGTCGTGGCTGCCGTGCCCGTGCCGTGCCGCGGCGCCGCGGAGCACCCCTGGCTTGCAAGGGGGCGCCCGGTCGGCGGCCCCGGCACGCGCAGCGGCGTGCCGCGCGTTGCCGTGGCGTGCGCGCGGCGCCCTGCGGCGCCGTGCCCCGCCGCGCCGAGGTGCCGCGCCGTGCCGCGGGGGCCATGTCGAGGGCACCCGCTCGCGCTTCGGCGGCCCGCGCCGTGCCGCGCCGCGCCGCGCCACGGCACCGTGCCGTGCGGTGCCGTGGTGCAGCGGCGCGCCGCGCCGCGGGGGGCTGGGCAGAGGGGCGGCAGAATCGCGGCCAGGTGGCTTCCCGAGCGGGGTCCGAGCAGATGGTGTCGGAGGATCGCGCCGCATCGCCGACGCATCGCCGACGCATGGACGATGCGTCGCCGACGCATCGACAGTGTATCGCCGACGCCGGCGGAGGCATCGGCGACGTCGGCATGGAGGAAATCAGGATCCCTGTCGAGCCGCATCGTCGATGCATCAGCGAAGCGGCGCGATCCTCCGAGCCCATGTGCAGCAAAAATGCGGGAGTTCAGTCGAGGTACTATCAGAAGGAACGCTAGATAAGGAACGGAGCCCCTTCTTGGCCCCGGAAGCGCCGAGGTGCACGAGGAGTGCTGGAGGAGGAGCCATGGAAGAGCTTAAGGAACAGCGAGCCCCTGCCGCACCCGAGGCGTTCCTTACTTCAGCGTCCTGGCTGTGAGGAACGGGTCGGGCTTGGAGGGGGCTCGCTGTGTTCCTTCGGTCCCTCCGTGGCTGTTCCTCTGGCGCTCCTCGTGCACCGATGGGCGCGTGTGGGGTCAAGAGGGGGCTTCGTTCCACATTCAGCCTTCCTTCTTGCATGGGGCACTGGGGCACACCAATACATAGACACACACACACACACATCCCAGGATTCCCAACGTCTTCCCATGACTTCTGGGTTTTCGTCTTCCCCCCCCACTTCCCATATCTTCCCATCGTTGCCTGGGGGTCGACGATTGATTGTGTTTGTGATTGTGTCTGTGTGTGTGTGTGTTTTGTTCCCCTCCTGAACCTGGGCGCGGCTGGGGTCAGGAAGAGAGCCTCGTCCCATGTCCAATGCTCCTCATGCTGGCAGCACTGCCGTGCCCGACGCCGTCTGCGAGGCCTGGGCGGAGAGAAGACGCGAGGCTGGGCGGCGGGTCCTCCGTCCGGGGCGCCCCTGCCGGGCGCGTGCGCGTAGGGGCCGGGGGGGGCCCTGCCGCCGCTGCGGCCTGCGCGAGGCGGCGAGCGGCCGGGTGCCGGCAGCAAGCTCGGATGCCCGACGATCCGACGCTGCCCGCGCGAGGCTTTTTTGGGGGGGGCGAGGGGGGGAGGGGGTGGGAGCGGACAGCGATGCACCACAGCTCAGGCCCGAGACGACCAACAGGCATCCGGCCGGAGGACTGTCCTGCAAGTGTGGCCAACACTCGGGCCGCAAGTTCGTGCAGACGGGTGAGGGAGAAAGAAGAAGAAGAGGAGGAGGATGAGGAGGAAGACGAGGAGACAACATTCTTATCCTGGGGCAATTGCCAGCCAACCTGCACTAGGCGAGCCCGTCCGAGCCATCGGGATCAGTGATGTCGGCCTCCAGGCAATTTTTCCTTGACTTCGGCCTCTGGGGCCGGTTTCCGATCCTCCCTTGGGTCGGATTGTGCTGGCGCCGGGGGCAGGGCGCCTACGTCGCCGTCGTCGTTGTCGTCGTCGTCGTCGTCCTCCTCCTCCATTCATGGCAAGCGCAGCACAAAGCGACCCGTAACAAAACAAGGCGCAGCGAGGCGGCGCCGGCACCGTCGAGACGTACCCCTCCAACCCCACCGCCCAGATACTCTCAACCATGCCCCCTCTGAAGCTGCTTTCTCCTCCTCCTCCTCCTCCTCCTCCTCCACCTCCCCCTCCTCCTCCTCCTCCTCCTCCTCCTCGTCCCCCTCCTCCTCCTCCTCCTCCTCCCCTCCTCTCCTCTCCTCCTCCTCCTCCTCCCTCCTCCTCCTCTCTCCTCCTCCTCCTCCTCCTCCTCCTCCTCCCCTTCCTCCTCCTCTCCTCCTCCCCTTCCTCTCTCCTCCTCCTCCTCCTCCTCCTCCTCCTCCTCCTCCTCCTCCTCCTCCCACCACACTCGAGGCTCGGGTGCAGAGCCCCTCTCCCAGGAGATCCAGCAGCGCAGCTCCGGCACGCAGCTCCCAACCCAACGCAGTCACGTGAGCCCCCTCCCCCAAGCAGGGGGGGAGGAGGGAGAAGGGAGGAGCAGCGGACGAGCATGAGAAGGAGGCGAGGAGGAGGAGGAGGAGGAGGAGGAGGAGGAGGAGGGAGGAGGAGGAGGAGGAGGAGGAGGAGGAGGAGGGGGAGGAGGAGGAGGAGGAGAGGAGGAGGAGGAGGAAGAGGAGGAGGAGGAGGAGGAGGAGGAGGAGGAGGAGGAGGAGGAGGAGGAGGAGGAGGAGGAGTGATGATGATGGTGATGGGGAGGCGAGGAGGAGCATGAGAAGGAGGAGGCGAGGAGGAGGAGGAGGAGGAGGAGGAGGAGGAGGAGGAGGAGGAGGAGGAGGAGGAGGAGGAGGAGGAGGAGGAGGAGCAGGAGAAGGAGGCGAGGAGGAGCATGAGAAGGAGGCGAGTGATGATGATGGTGATGGCGAGGGGGAGGCCGAGAGTGGAACTTCCAGAACACCTCGCCGCTGGAGTCCGACGGCGCGAAAGCGGGAGACACGACGAGGGGAGGGGGGAGCCCTTTCGAAGAGGGAAGGCCCGGGGCCTCTCGGAAGGCTCGGGGGCCTCTGAGAAACAGCCTCACGAAGCCCCGCGAGACCCGAGGACCTCCCAAACGCCGATGCCCTGCCACCCACCCCTTTCCGGCAAGAGAAGGAGCCAGAAGGACAGCAGCTCGACTGGCCGAGTTGTGGCCGCCGGTCGCCCGGCTCGAGGCTCGCCGTCGCCCCGCCAGGGAAGGCGTCGAGGGGCCCAGGCGCAGGGCACGGAGTTTTCCCCCGCCCCCCCCCCCCCCGGCCCTGGCCCGGCAGGCCGGGCCACGGGCGCCCCCCTGGGAAGACTTGGCGCCGGGCAGCACAGGAGGAGGAGGCAGAGGAGGAGGAGGAGGACGGAGGAGGAGGAGGAGGAGGAGGAGGAGGAGGACGGAGGACGGAGGAGGAGGAGGAGGAGGAGGAGGAGGAGGAGGAGAGGAGGAGGAGGAGGAGGAGGAGGAGGAGGAGGAGGAGGAGGAGGAGGAGGAGGAGGAGGAGGAGGAGGAGGAGGAGGAGGAGGAGGAGGAGAGGAGGAGGAGGAGGAGGAGGAGGAGGAGGAGGAGGAGGAGGAGGAGGAGAATTAGGAGGAGGAGGGACGAGGAGCTAGGGCGGAGGGAGGGAGGCTCGGTTCTGATCGTGCTCGTTTCTAATCGTGCTCGTTTCGGAGTGCTCCTGGCCACCCAGAGGCCAGGAAGAGGCCCAGGACAGAACAAGTGGAACTGAAACGATCTTGCCCCCCGAAACAATCAGAGAACTTTCGAATACTTAGACATGAACAATGTGTGTATATATATATATATATATATATATATATATGAGCGGAGAGCCCACTCGGGTGAGCTGGCCCGAAGGCGATTCGCGGTGCACCCACAGCTGCAGCCGAATACAAGGCTGAAGCACGCACACGGAAGAATGGGGAGGGCCTTCTCTGCAGGTGTGGTTGACAGCAGATCGTGGAACGGTGCAGTGGGGGAGAGGCACAAAGAGCGAGATCGGCCCGCGAATTGGAGGCCCAGCAGGGCCAGGCGGCCGAGTGGCGCGCGGCTCATCGGAGAAGGGTCTTGTGCACAGTGGGGAAGAACCAGCACCCAACGAGCAGCAAACAAGCAAGCACATCTCGAGGATTCTCCCATGGCAGTGCATCTACTCGAAGCTTGTGGATTCCACTTAGGACTCTGAGGGGGTGGCCAGCCACCTACGATTGCCACATGCGCCTTTCGGCGAGCTGCACGACCCCGCAAGGCGTAAGGGGCGGGCCGATGACGAGGGGGATCACGCATGCTGGCGGGCTCCCAAGATGAGCCCGTCATGGCATGGCGCCTGGACCCGGGAACCAGGGACGTCTTCCGACACATTCTGCTGCTTGTATGCGGCCCCAGCGGTCCCGACCCTGGGGCCAGTGTTCCCGCCTGGATGGCTGTTTGATGGCCCGGGGGCCCGACGGTGGGCCCTGGGGGCCGAGGTTGAAGAAGAAACGCCAGGATTGAACAAACATATCTCGTCGGAGATCTGCGTCATCTTGCTCGTTGTGATCGTGTCTCTTCCCTCGAGATGAGGAGAAGGAGAACGACGACGAACGCCGACGCCGACGACGACGCCGACGCCGACGCCGACGACGACAACGACGACAACGACGACTAATTATGACGACGACGACCACGACGACGACGACGACGACGACGACGACGACGACGATAACAAAGTCGTCGTGGGCTTCGCAGCGGGCGGCGGCTTCCGCAGCGGCCAGGTGGGCGGGCCCGCGGCCAGGGGCGCCTGGGGCCCCGCCGTAAGAGCCGCCAGCGCTGCCGCCCCACCAGTCGGCGGCGCTGCCGTAGGAGCCCCCGGAGCTGGCGGCCCACGACGAAGCCCCGGGGCGGGGGGATCCTGCCGGTTTTGGGCGCCTCCTGGACGGGGTCGGAGCATCGCGCCGCATCGCCGACGTCGGCGACGCATCGGCGACGTCGGCGAGGAGAGCATGGGCATCCGAATCGAGCCGCACCGCCGATGCATCGGCGATGCGGCGAGGTCCTCCGACCCCATCTTACTCCGGCCCGTCCAGGAGGCCCAGCCTAGAGGGGGGAGACGAACATCTGGCGAGTTCAGAGCCGTGCACCAGAAGGCCTTGCTATCTCTCTTGGGAGGCAGACGTTTACGTCCGCCGGCCTTCCGCTGGCTTCCGCCGAGAAAACGAGGTCAAGTCTTTCAACCCTCGAGAGCGGGGCCCTTTCTGGAACGCCTCACATCTCATATCTCGAGCAGTCGCGCATGTTCGGTGGCAACTCATGGGAGCCTCTCATACCATCTTGTCGGCTCTTGCGAATCGACGCTAGTTGACGCTAAATCGACGCTAACCGACGTTAGTTCGACGCTAGTCGACGATAACCGACGTTTCATCGGCGCTATCTCATCGACTCCAGGCGCTAACCGACGCTGAAGACGGAATTCAGAAGGCACAGCAGGCACACGTGCTTTGCTACTGAACGAACGGTGGCGAAGTCATCGGGGGGGGTAGGAAGGCACCAACTATACACCAACACCGACCCTGGCCAGGATCACCCTGGGCCCAGGATCGGTGTATACGCCCTCCTGCCTTGCGCAAGAAGGCATATACACCGATCCTGGGCCCAGGGTGATCCTGGGCCAGGATCGGTGTTGGTGTATAGTTGGTGCCCTCCGAGGGGGCAGACCCCCCTTCCGAAAACAACAACTCCCCTTCGTGAAGAAAGCCCTGGGCCGAACCTGGCGGGCGCCGGGGGGAGGATGAGGAGAAAAAGGAGGGGGAGGAGGAGGAGGAGGAGGAGGAGGAGGAGGAGGAGGAGGAGGATTAGGAGGAGGAGGAGGAGGAGGAGGAGGAGGAGGAGGAGCACCCTTGTCGAGAACGGCAGAGGGGCACTCGCCAAGCGGCATTGGCGAAGAGGGGGGGGTCTCTCTGCCCACCTCCGGGGAAGCCACGGGCGACGAATAGCGGGGCGCCTTTGCCGTCACCGCTCGGGCCCGCGGCCCTCCGTCTGGGGGCCCTCGCATCCCTTCGGGGCCACTCTCTCTTGCAGTCCTGGGCCCCCCCCCCAGCCCCGTTTATTGCACCCCCTCAGCCCCAGCAGCGCTGTGGATCCCTTCGGGGCCACTCTCCTGCAGTCCTGGACCCCCCCAGCCCCGTTTTTTTGCACCCCCTCTGCCCCAGTAGCGCTGTGGATGCCATGACGGTGGACACACTCAAAACAATCCCAGAATTGGATCGAAGATGTGTGTTTGACATGTGTAAGCCATGTTCCAAACATGCTTCAGACATGTTTGTTGTTGTTGCTGCTGTTGCTATTGCTGTTGCTGTTGCTGTTGTAGTTGTAGTTGTAGTTGTAGTTGGAGTTGTACTTGTAGTTGTACTTGTAGTTGTTGTAGTTGTAGTTGTAGTTGTAGTTGTAGTTGTCGTTGTAGTTGTAGTTGTAGTTGTAGTTGTAGTTGTTGTAGTTGTAGTTGTAGTTGTTGTTGTTGTTGTTGTTGTTGTTGTTGTTGTTGTAAGTGTTGTTTTTTTGTTCACATGCTTCAACAATTTTATTTCATTTTCTAGACATCTGATTATTTGGCAACATGCTTCCTCTCCATTGATCGTCCTCCACAGCAGTCGCGAGCGGCCGAATGTCCACCTGGACTCCAGGAGACGGACCCGCTCCCGCACCAGAGGGAGCTGATAACTGATAACCCCGCAGCGCCAGCGGTGTTGGCGGATGCCATATGCACGGCCTCGTGCGCAGGGGACGTCCGTTTCGCCATGCGCGCCGCATCCTGCGCTGCCCACGCCTGCAGGGGGGGCTCTGACTCACGAGCGTCAAGTCGGGCGTGTCCCCCTACAGGGGAACTTTGGGCGAACGAAAATACTCAAACATACACTCCACGTACTCAAACATAGTCCCCCAAAATCGTCCCTAGACTATCTTTTGGACTATTTTTGAATACTCCCTCTGTAGAGGGACAGGCCCGACTTAACACGAGCGACGAGAGCATGCCCACGCCCGGGCCCTCGCAGTTCCGCACCCCAGGCGCGGTGCCACGGGCGCGCGATCCCATGCGCGCGCGCCGCGCGGGGGCATCCGCACGAAGCCGCCCTGCATCCGCGGGGTCGGCGGATGAGGAGCATGATTGAAGGGGCTCTGGGACACACAAATAAATACACACAAATAAAATGATTCCCTATATTTTCCCATATTTTCTGGGTTTTTGTCTTCCCGCCCAATTCCCATATTTTCCCATATTTTCTGGGGACTCGACGGTTAATTGTGTCTGTGTGTTTCTTTCCCTCCTGAATGATGCACCATCCGGGGCATTCGGCAGCCCGAACGCGAGCGCCACGCACTCGCAGCACAAGGTCAGATGCCAGCCCTGCCGGCGCGGCCGCCGCCGGATAGTTTATTGGAGCTCGCCGCTCAGCTGGACTCGCCACCAATTTCCCCCACGACCTCTGTCCCTTTCATTCCCCTCCCCTCCGCCACTCGCCGTGTGCCCTGCCACCACCCACAAATCAGGCCCAGAGTACCGCGGCCACCAGAAAGAAGACCTTCGAAGAGGATACTGTCCAGCCGCGCTGCCAGTGCCATCGGGTCACCAGAGTGGCTAAGCTGGCCCAGCTTGACTCGCCACTGGCAGGCGTAAGCCCGAACAGTTTGAATCGAATGCTGGGCAAGTCCGCCTGGGGCGGCAGAACGCCGACAAAGAGCTTGTCCAACCCTCCCCCAGGCGTATTTTCCCCCATGACCTCTTCAACATCTCAACGTCCCCCTCCCCCTTCCCCTCTCTTAACATTTGAACGTCCCTCTCCCCCTCCCCCTCCATTCAACACCTTAACGGCCCTCCCCCCCTCCCCTCTCTCCCTCCCCTTCCCCCTCCCCCTTTCCCGCTCCCCCTCCCCTTCCCCCTTCAGCATCTTAACGTCCCTCTCTCCCTCCCCCCTCCTTCCCTGGAGCAGCCGGCGGTGCTCCCGTGGCACGGGGGCACCTCCGCAGGGGGGCGCAGCTTTCGTGCAGCAAGCTCGGGTAAGACTCCGAAGAATCTCAGGGTGCCAGGCACCCAATCATTGCTGCAGTTTAGGGTCGGAGGAGGCTGGGGAGGTATGATGTTCAATGTATCGCTAGCGGAGGAGGCAGGGAGTGCGCCAACACCGTCGACGAGGGCAATGTCCAACGCCAGGTCCGCCAACGCCGTGATGTTTGCCTTGCCCTACAACGCGGCCATCATGAAGGGCGGCTTCTGCCACGGGTAATATTGCGCCACAGCGCGACCGCCACCGTCGCTGTCCACCAGGCGCCGCTCTCAAGCCAGAACGCCACCGCAAGCAACCACGCCACCAGCCACTAGCCGTTCCCCTCCCTCCGTTGACACTCCTTGCCATGACAGAGCGATAGAAGCACCATGTTCTGTAGGCTGGCGCTCAACCTGACTCCCCACCGTTAACCCTCCCCCCTCATCATCCCCCAGGGCCCCCCCCCTAAGGAGGAGGAGGAGGAGGAGGAGGAGGAGGAGGAGGAGGAGGAGAAGGAGGAGGAGGAGGAGGAGGAGGAGCAGGAGGAGGAGGAAGGGGAGGGGAGGAGGAGGAGGAGGAGGAAGAGGAGGAGAAGGAGAAGGAGGAGTTCTGGAGTTCGGGATATGGCGACGAGGTCGGTTGAATGAATTTACACCATGGATTTCTCCTTCTTGGCCTTCTCAGCCTTGCTGTAGGCTTTGGGCCAGAGACCCTTGGAGATCCTGGTAAAGGTAATCCCCGCGAATATATTCAACCCTCTCGGCACACTCTCGAACAAGCTCTTTGAGCTGCTGGGAGGCAAAGCGCCCACACATGGTGCAAAACCGCACCCTGACCCCCGAGTGATACCGAAGTTTATGACATGAGTGCGGACCCCCCCTGCAATATGCACCCGTCGTCCTGGATGGGGTTTCAAACAGGGTCCCGTCGAGACTGACGAGATCGAAACACGGATAATCGAGCCAGCCCTTACGTTTGGCGTGTGTGGTCGACCCCTTACACCGCTCGCATGCCCTGCTGTTCTGTTCGCGGAACACGTGGGATGAGGCAAAAACGTACTGCAGATGGACGGAGCAGGACGCCTCACGAGATCTTTCGCACGCTTGCTCTTGGAAATTTCTTTGTCGAGCTCGGCTTCACACTGAAGGGCCTCGTGGGTGCTCTGGAGGGCCCTCATGCGGACAAGAAAAGCCTTGTGCTCGATCATTTTTAAACGAAATCTGTGATACTCGGGCACGCGGGCGAGGTCAGCGCCCACGGCCGCAAATGCATCGGCCATGGTGTTCCCCAAGACCAAAAAGCCTTGGAACCCGGCCAGAAATAATGTCGTCGGCCTCCTGGTGTGAATGCACAAAGACCACCGTGCAAACCTGATTGGGGTGGGCTTCCAACCACAGCCCAATGTCCCACCAGAGGTCGCTGTCAGGTCCCGCGGGGTGCTGGTGTCGGTGGTTGTACCAGCCCAGGATAACCGATTCGTTGTCAGTGACATAAACACAATGGCCTGTACATGACCACAGCGCCAGTAGTAGTGCCAACAACTCGCCTCTGGCCACCGTTTGGCGGCCGCCAAGTAATTCTCCCCAGATGCTCAGCTCGAGCTGCATGTCGTCCGTCAGGTCCCGGAAACACGCGAGGCCGACTCTGACCCTGCGCAATTGTGGGTCGGCGCTGTCAGCTCCTCCGCTGGCCTCGCCGGGTATGTACAAAGGCCGATCTGATGTCCCGTGACCTGCGCAGCCTTCGCGGTAGTGACCCGCGGACACGTGACAATCCTCGGACTGCCGCGGAGCTGGGATCTGCATCCAGGTACTGGGGATGAGCCCTCGCGTCCAGAAGCAGGCCTCTGCTTCCCCGCTCGCGTGGGCCTGTC